GGTCAGGGCGGCTAGGGTCTGGAACCAACTTCCAAGAGAGGTGGTGCAGGCTCCTACCCTGGGGGTTTTTAAGAGGAGGTTAGATGAACACCTTGCTGGGGTCGTTTGACCCCAGTACTCTTTCCTGCCATGGAAGGGGGTCGGACTAGATGATCTGCTCAGGTCTCTTCTGACCCTAGAAACTATGAATGCCTGCAGAGGCCAGCACCGGGGCAAACCACTCAGCCAGCCAAGGTCACACACAGAATTTCCCACTCAGAAGCCAGCCAAAAGCCCTGCCTCACAAGCTCTGTGGACTTCCCAAAGAAGCTTTATTCCCTGGAGCTTCCACTGGAACATGGGAAAGAGGTAAGGGAACCGGGTGGATGCCAACAGTCCAGAATGCATGAGAATCATAATCAGTCACAGAAAGAAGGACCAGAAGGGACCTATACGATCATCAAGTCTGGTCCCAGAAGGAAATAAAGGGAAGGGGTGAACAAGATCAGTGATCTAAAAAGTGAGCCATGAAACCGGGGCAGCATCAACTTGGGGGCCAGCTGACTTGGGAACTCTCAGGAGAGAAGAGGCAGACAGGACAGCACACCGGTTACAGTGGACTGACACTCTGTGCTGAGGTCCCCGTGTGGAAGTACTCTGTGGTCTGTGTTGAACAGGATGTAGTTCAACACAAGGGTCTCCCATATGGCAACCTTCATACAGGGGATTTAACATGATTTAACTTACACGTGCTGTTTCCACCCCTCCAGCTGACTTACTTTGCCTCTCCCGAGAGCCGCTGTAGAGACAACCTCAGGGATTTCTGTACCCAGCCAGGAGTCAGTGTCAGTGTAGCTAGGTGGGAGCCTGAAGAGTTTGGTGAATGAACTAACTTGAGGGGAATGGAGAGGAAGCTACCAGTCCAGCCAGGGCATTGGACAAGCTCCAGGATCTCTCTCACTTAAACACACTCTTTCTTTCATCTTACCTCCTGATTGAACTGCTTCACAGGGCTCGATCCAGGTTTATCCACCCGAGATGGGATTCTCACCTGGATTACATTTAGAAAGAGAAGTTATTTGGGGGAGACAAGCTGAGCTGGCAGGCATGCACACACTACCTTCCCTGACATCTGCCCCTGTAAGAGACAAGCAAGTTGCTCATGGAACAAATCTACGTTTGTACAACAAATCTATGAGTGGACAACAAACTGAATAGGAAACAGTGTGGCTTTTGTTGCCAAGAAGGCTAATGGCATCCTGGGCTGCACTGGTAGAAGCGATGCCAGCAGATGGAGGGAAGTGATTCTTCCCCTCTATTCAGCACTGGGGAAGCCACATCTGGAGTCTTGTGTCCAGTTGTGGGCCCCTCGCTACAGAAAGGATGTGGACACACTGGAGGGAGTCCAGTGGAGCACAATGAAAAGGGTTGCGGGCTGGGGGACAGGACTTGTGAGGCTGAGAGAACTGGGCTTACTGAGTCTGCAGAAGGGAAGACTGTGCTGGAATTTGACAGAAGCCTTCAACTCCCTGCAGAGGGGTTGCAAAGAAGATGGAGCTGGGCTGTTCTCGGTGGTGGCAGATGACAGAACAAGGAGCAATGGGCTCCAGTTTCAGGAAGGGAAGTTTAAGTTGGCTATGAGGAAAAGCTCTCTCACTCAAAGGGTAGTAAAGCATTAGAACAGGTTACCCAGAGAGGTTGGGGAATCTCCATCCTTGGAGGTTTTGAAGATCTGGCTAGGCAAAGCCTTGTCTGGGATGTAGTTGGGGCTGGTCCTGCTTTAAGCAGCAGGTTGAACTAGATGTGACCTTCTGAGGTCCCTTCCAACCCTCATTTTCTATGATTCTATGATCAGGCTAAAGGAAAAAACTCTGAGCCAGCAGCAGCATCCCCACCCAGTAGCATAAAACATGCAGAAGACCTTCCCATCCTGCCTTGGTGCTGGGGCTTGGGGATTTCAGTGCAGAAGTAGCAGTAAGCACCTGAATGACCACTCCCATGACTGGAAGGTTCAAAGTCTGTCCTGGCGCTGGCCCAGGCCACTGATCAATTTCATTGCACACTGCAAAAATACAAGCAAAGAAGGGGTTAATCCAAAGGCCAACTCCAGTCCCCACGAGCCCCTGCTGACCTGTGGCAGGACGCTAGCTAGTTTTTGCTACCTCTCAGCACATGTGACTCTGCTTAGACCAAGATTAGATCAGAGCAGTAACACTGGAGTCTATCTATTGCAGTTATCACTCCAATCAGCTGAGCTGCACTGGCAGTGAATCAAGACTATCCAGTTGGCAAGCAGAGAATAAAGCCACCGGTAGCAACAAAGCACCCACGCTCATTCCTTTTCAGAAAGAGATCTCAGCTGAGGCTGATGGCACCACTGACTACAGCTGCCGCACACTGCCCATTATAAATCCTCTTTTCCTCCAGTTTTGATAACTTCTTCAAACCTTCAGGCTGAATTCTTTTTGCTTTGGGGAAATTTCAGCCCAAATGTTCCACCTGTTTCTAAAATAACACCTAGTTTTGCCCATGTTAAAGAAGTAGAAGTCCTGGCCTCCTTTCATTACAAACATGACTGCAGTGCATGTAGAAGGGACTGGAAAGTTTTTAGAGAGAAACTTGTGAAGCAGAGGTGGGCATCCAGCTGTTTACATAAACCCACCACTCCAACACCCCACTGCACTTGTGCGAGTTGTGATTACACTTGTCATTTACCCATGTCCGGTAGAGGTTTGTTAGCGCTGTAAAGCCAAATGAAAGACTGTGCCCATTGTACTACCCCTGCAGCTCTGGTGTGGGTTGGATCAGGCCCAGGCACTGGAACTGAGAACTGAATGTGCTCCCAATGCTCCCCTCAGCACTGGGTCAGGCAGGAGGAGAGAGCTCCCTGATTCAAATGCAAAGAGGACTAAGAATTGCCATTGACTGGGTCAGACCATAGGTCCATCTTACCCAGTCTCCTGTGTCATACAGCAGCAGAGAGCAGAGGCTGAAAGGGAGAGTGACTGGGTCCAAGCAGGGTTTTCCCCTGTTCCTCTCTCCCTTGCAGCGTCCAGTACTGAAGGTCCAGGCAGGTCTGATGCAGAGGCCATGCCCCTCACTCCCATGCTCCAGATCTCCTGATGCCCCTTTCCTTTAAGCATGTGTCCAATCCCTTTTTTGAATCTGGCTAAGGAGAGAAACCTGAGGAGGAGGGGTGAGAGAAGGGAAACTGAGACTGGACTTGGGCATGAACTGAAACAGATCTGACAAATAGATGGATGCAGAAGGGAAGCTGGGACTGGTTTGGCAAAACAGCCTGGACAAAGAGCGTCTTTCAGCTACCTCCATATAAAAACCCTTAACGCACTTAGACATGCAAACGCTTGCTCCTGCCCAGCCACCTCACCTGCCTCCAAGCACGGCTCCAGCTTGTCGAAGTACTCCGGAGCAATCAGCTGCAGCAGCGACTGGAACAGGTTCACGTAGGGCAGGCGCGACACCAGCACTAGAGACTGTAACAGGCACATTTATGAGTCAGGGCAGCACCATCACCACCGATGATGCTGTACACACAAGAGGTGCCCAGATTCTGTCTACGCAAAGGCTACAGTGCAAGTTTGCCCTGAAGCCAAAGGTTGCATTTACTTGAACCCCACATGCACCTTTCCTTACAGGACCTTATATAAACTATTTACAGTAAAGAAGGAACAGTCTTGCTACTGCCCTTACAAGGGTCTACCGCTGGGCTGCCCAGGCTCACAGAAGAGTCTGGATACCTGCAGAAGCTGCTGTAAAAATGAAAGACTCCAGCTGCAAGCTTCCACTAGAGGCCACTGCAAGCACAAGAAATAACCCTGTAGCCCAGCCAAAAAAAAAAAAAAAAAAACTAAATCAGCCAGCAGAAAGATGACAAGGAACCGCCACAAGAGGTCCAAAGGTACTAGCGCAACCACACAGGGAGCTCCCTGAGCAAGGAGGAGACCTAGAAGAGCTGGAGAGCAGGTGCATAGGAGCAGGCCAGTGGGTCAACAAGTCAGGGACCAAGTAGGGAGGTGGTACAGGGAAGGTTACAAGGGAACAGAAAGAGGAGAGATAACAGGCCAGTTTTCCAAGTTGGCTTCATTTTGCTTTTGCTGCCTACATTCCCATCTTCCCTTTACACTCTCTCTGTCAATGTGTACATCTCTTTCCAGTTCAGTACCACCCCCGCCCCCCCACTCCCAGGATTTCAAAAGGGAGCGGCTCGCCCTCCTTTTCAAATTATTGATGAAGATGTTACAAAGAGCCAGGACAGAGCCTTAGAGTACATACTGGCACCTTTTCCAGCATGCTTCTATTTTACTGATCCAAGCATGACTGTCAATCACACTCAACCCCTTCGTGTTTCCCCACTTATTCTAGCCAGAAAAAACAAAAGCAGATTAGCCTGGCAAAATCTGTTCTTCACAAACCCCCAAAAAGGTCTGGTCTTCCATCGTCCTCCAGACCTTAAGTGCTCTTTTCCTTGGTATCTGATCTGGTTGTAAAGAGACTGATTTGTGCATTAGGAGTGCTCTTTGGAAGATACTCTGGGGGTGAGCAGAGAAGAGCACAAGGGGAGCAAGAGCACAAAACAGCCTCCCCATGTCTGTCACGTTCTCAGGTTGACCTATTACAAGGCCTGCAGTTTCAGGATTTTACAGCATCATTCTCAATGCGTGGGTCGCAACCCAAAAGTGGGTCACAAGAATATATGAAAGGGTCACAAACAAACTTTAAATATGTATTCTCTTTTAAAGAAGAAAAAGATGGGAAATGACAAGTTTCCCCTTATAGGCTGGCAGAATTCCAGGCTGCTTGGGGCTGGGGGGAGCAAGAGGAAGGTGATTGGGCAGCGGGTGCCATATGCATGTGCATGCACACACATGCACATGGCAGCCAGGAGAGCAGCTCCCCACAGGTAAGTCTATGGGGCTTGGGGAGAGGAGCCGGGAGCATAGGCAACGTCAGGGGGACGGGGGCGCACAAGTGACACTGCCTGCCACCCAGCCTCCTCGACCTCCTGTTACTCCTCATGCATGGCTGGTGCGGAGGTTGCAATAGCAGCAATGAGTCCCACTGCCCTGCTCTGCCTTCCTGCACCAAGTCCCACCTGCTAGGTTGCAGAGGCAGCTCCTGCCTGTGCTAGTCCAGCCAGGCTGCAGCCCCATGCCTGCTGTGGGTGCACAAATCTGGGGTGGGCATGTGCCCTCCCCCCCACTGACTGCACCTTCCTCTCTGTTCGGATAGGGCTCAGCATGCTGTGGGTGCTACTATACAAGTCCCTCTGACTGCCCCTGAAGCTGGAGTACGTGAGAAAAGGAGGTGTCCAAACTTATGGCAGCAGGCTGCCAGCCATCAGTCATGCAATTCATCTGCCTGGCAACCCCTTCCAGTTTTGTTTGGGCCTGCATTTTCTACATATTCCAGCTGTTGCAATTTTTCTCCCTGGGACCCTTAGAGTTTCCTATGGGAATATTTCTCGTGTCATGTAGGGACTGGTGAGAATGCAGATGTCTTTTTTATAGACAGATGCCTCTTTTACAACTACATGCTGCTTTAAAGCAGCACACTATCTGGTTTCAATACTCACCTTCTGAAAATAACCTCTCTTCATTGAGCTGTCCTTGACTTGCCTGAAGTACACGTAGCCAAAGTAATGAGCTGTCTCTCGCTGCAAAGAGAGAGGCCAACAATACCATGATCAAGGATCCAATCACCCCCCTTGCCAG